GGTTCGTGGCCCCTATCTGGTTTTTGATTGTGCTATTGTTATCCAGAATAATAGTAATAGTAATACTAATATAATTCTAATAATAATTATTAGAATTATTACCATTATGACGATTATTAAAATTATTGTTATTCTGATTATTATTATTATAGCCCTTGAGGATCCCTTGAGGTCTCCCGCCCGGCAGCACATTGCCAGAACATCTCAGCTCCCCACCTCCCAGTCCAGAAGCGCTCGAGCAGCCGCCACTGGATCCGACCAGCGGCAAAACTCCTTTTGAGCTTCGACCACCTCTGCAGGGCATAGATGAAACAAGAAAGGGGTTTAGGGTTTTTTCCCCCCCCCCACTTAGCAAGGACAAGCCCGCATTTAGGGTTTAGGGGTTTAGGGCTTTAGGGTTTAAGGATGTGGTCATCGAACACTGAGGGTCCAAAAATCATAACTGCTATCAAGATACCTCTTGTCTGCTCCCAACGAAAGGCGCCCGGCCGCCAGCTGCGACCAAGAGCGCAGCAGCTGGCTGCGGAATGCCCAGCACACAACCAAGCCTCACTTTAAGGGAGCACATGTCAAAGACCAACAAGTCATTCATACTGACACCTAATCGATGCTATATCTCTATATCTATATATCTATATATATATATATATATCTATATATCTATATATCTATATATCTATATATCTATATATCTATATATCTATATATATATATATACACATATAGGTAGATAGATAGCTAAGGTACATCGCAGCTCTTCCCAGCAATGGCTCCAGTGGCAGCCTGGCCAGCACCTCCCAAGCAGGAAGGTGCAGCAGGCAAGCACTACAGCCTTGCAAGCGCATGGGCTTTGACGAAGCATGCCTCTCCGATTGCCAGCATTGTAGGGCAATCTTCAGGATCGGAGTTGCTAATGGCGCGGATGGCGACGAGCTGCTCCATCGCCGAATCCACTGCCGCAACGTTTGGCTGATCCAGCGCACTTGCAAGGAACTTACGTGGGTCCCGCCCCAGCGCGATAGCCTGAACAGTGCGGCCGTGACTCTGAAACGAAGAACGACGACAACGAACACTCCGATGGCATGTCATGGCTGAATAATGGCATAAACACCCTCAAATTCACACGTCTCGCCTGAAGGCAGCTTTGGGCGAGGTCACAGCGCTGCATTTCCGGCGAAGGCTGCGGGGGGAGCGCCTGACTTCCAGCTTCTGACAGCGAGCTACGGTCGTGTGAGCGTTGCACTGGGGCAGTGGCCGAAAACTGCTGGCGGCTGTACAATCGCAGAACCCTCCCGGATCGCACACGCCCTGCACGACCTGACATCATGTCATAGAGGCTAGGGTAGGGTGAAGTTGATTGGGTGTTGAAAGTAACCCCTGGAATGTGACTTCTGGCAAATGGGCAAATGGCTCTGGTGTGAACCTGTTGGGGGCTTTCAAACTACACCCTGTTGTCTGGAGGACTACTCTGCACACGAAGGCGGTACAGACGAGCGCTGAGGTGGGTTGGCGATATGCGGCTATATGTAAGGGCTACAGGCCAGCGAGTCAGGAAGCCAACCTCTCGAATACCCAATCTCGAGGCACGGGTCGTGCGCTAGCCGCCGGCCCGGTCCAGGTTTCAAGCTCTGCAGAACAAACATCCAACCCATAAAGGTGGTCCGGAAGGCTAGTTTTTGGTTCGTTGCTTTCTGGGGTGGTGCACTCTAGTACCGCTGCATGTCCAGAGCAGGACACCACGGGAGCCTCGTCTTTGGACGGCACCACTCTGCGAGACCCATACAGTGTCCAGTGCTGACATGCGCCGCTTGGCATCGTAGGCCAACTCGCGCTGGAGCCCCGAGTCAATTACGACTTCCACCTTTCGATGTTCGAAAGTCACGAAAACATGAATCCGAGCAAGGATGGCTTAACCGAGTGCAAATCCGATTTTGGAGTGTGGACAAGGATCATCATTGATTGTCACGGAGCTCTCTGCGATGTTCGTGGCCAGGATGACTTTCACTTTGCTCTTCGGCGGTCTTTGGAAAACTTGCTGCTGCCTCTCCTAGAGCAAAGGCTCGACGGAACTCGCAAGAGGCTTGACATGCTTGACTCAACGTGCAGACGCCGCTTTGGCAAAGGCTGCGCCTTGGGTAAGGTCGAGTGCAAAGGCACAGCCCAGATCTGCTTGGCCTCCTCTCCTTCGCTCAGCCGTTCTTGCAGCTGCCTGCGACAACCATGCGCAGCCGACACGGCAGCATTGCTAGTAGCTGCTCGTTGTGAATATCGAGTTAAGTTTTTTAAGGAACAATATTGCATAATCATTCTACGAAAGCTCGATGCAGCTCTTAGCCAACCTCTGTTCTGCCTCTGCCGGCATGTCGCACATACCATCGATGCGTCGTGTTGATTTTCCTATGCTACTATGGCATACTATGTCAGTCATTCAACACTTTCGTCATGGCCTGATTTCAGACCAGCCAGGAAGGAAGCAGAGCACCTCAGGGGGGCACAGGCGGCCCAGTGGCGAGACTAGTCGGGTCTCTCTCCATCAGTTGGCCGGGCCACAGAGCCCTTCACTTCTTGACCTCGGTTCGCCCCCGAGCGAAACTGGGCAGGAAATTGTAAGCCAACTTTTCGAAATGATTGCAAAGGTCGTCAGGGCAGTTGCAACCCATAATCCAGTCGAGCATCTGCTCCTGCTGGACATCTCCCGCACAACCGCGCAAATGGATGATTCCATCACATGGAGAAGCTTGTCGATCTCCCCACCATCGTATCCGCCCCACAACCTCTGTGCTGGGCTTTCCCGGTCTGCATCATCGCCTCATTTTGCCGACAGAGTAATTAAGACAACTCGCTCGACCTTCCCCTGCCATGTTGCCAATGTACAGCAACTGCCACAAGGGTACTTGAGCTGGTGGCGGTGTTGTAGCAGCAGTAGCAGCAGCAGCTGCCGCAGCAGCAGCAGCAGCGGCAGCAGGAAGAGCAGCAGCATCAGTAGCAGTCTCAGCCGCAGTAGCAGTAGTAGCAGTACTGTAGCCGTTGTAGTCGTAGTAGAAGCACCTGCAGCCGCAGCAACAGCAATAGCAGCCACTGGTAAGTAGCAAGGCACCACCCCACCACAACTAGACTATACTAAATTTTTACCAAATATGCTATCCTACATTGTGCTATACTGTATTATCCTGTTCAGTGCCTTTAACCAAGCACAGCCACCGTCCTGGGTTTCAGTCTGCTCCGCCGCCTCACGAGCCCGATCCTGAGCAAACACATGCCACAAGACAAGCGACGATGAGGGGTTTAGGGCTTACCTGGACCCCAAAGAACCGCCTTTTTAGGGCTCCAAATTATGGTTTCTTTATATAAGTCCCTTTTGGGGTCCAGGTAGGGTTTACGATGCGGGTAGTTCTCTAAATTAGGGTCCTTTAGGCTTTACAGGGGACCCCAATTTGGAGAACTACTCATGTAGGGTTTTAGGGCTTCAGCACGCACACTCGGGACAAGCCTGGGCGAAGTTCTAGGCTTTAGGGTTTGCGCACTCACAACTGGAACTAGCCAGGCGAGGTCTAGGAGGTGCGAGTCGGCGAGAAACTGAGTAGCGGGAGGCTTCAGGGGTTCAGGGTCGACAGAGGCTTAGGGGTTTTGAGGCTAGGGGTTTAGGGGTTTGTTAGGGTTTTGAAGCAAGCAGATTAAAGCGCACCTCCGCGGTCAGTAGTGCATTCGTATAGGTGAACTCCGAGAAGAAATCTTCTTCCAGATGCACCTCTTCGACTGGGAACAGCGTTTCGGACTGGACCTGCCGACGCGCATAGGCGGGGGGACATAATAGTAATATATAGTAAGATATAGTCATATATATAATTATATATAATTGTAATTAATTGTAATTAATTGTATATAATTATATAGAATATGCCACAAGTCAGGGCGCCTCAAGAACAGGACAAGAGTCGAAGTAGCTCGTAAATGACTGCACCTCAGATCTAAGCGGAGTTCAGGGCTACCTATAGTCATTGTATATAGCTCCTGTTTGGGTTACCTTAATAGGATCCTAAATATACAATTAACTAAACCAAAAAGAAAAGGCACCACAATACAGACTCTAGACATATAGTAGCCTCTGGGTGAAAACAAACTTTTACTCTGAGCCAAGCTTCATCCAGCGTGGCGCTCATCAGGACGAGCTTCAAATCTGGCCTGCTTGGCAGTACCTGCAACTTGCGACGCACCCGAAAATCTCGCGTCTTGGGTTGTTTTTTTACCACCTTCAACCTTGCATGTAAACTAGGTATTCTGGGGCATTAGCGCAATGTACTCCAACCGCGGTATACATGCCTAATTGGCTAGCTGGAAGATCCAACCCCTTCCCAACAAGAGCAAGGCCTCACGCAGCAAAACCAGAAGGAAGTCCGTCAGCATGTCGCGCTCGTGAACTTCGTCCACGATGACCACATCGCAATTTCGCAAGCAGGAGTCGTCAACTGCTCGCCGGAGCAAGGTTCCTACAGTCAAGAATTCGATGGACCCCCTGGCAGAAGGCCGTACAGCATTCCCATGCACGGCATAGCCAATGGACTGTCCGACCTGAGATGTGTGGCTTTGTTCTCGCTTGGTCAGCACTTGCCTTTGATCAATTTTAGCGGCCTTTGCTGAGCCTGTGACCGGCTGCCCACGCTCCCAGGCCACACGCTCTGCCACAGAAATGGCGGCAATGCGGCGCGGCTGGGTGACTACAATCCTGCAATTTGATCGGCGCGATAGCTCAAGCGATGGGGCACCAGTTGTTTGCTGGCAGTAGAAGCAATTCGTGTATCTCGAATTGGCTACAGTATATTTCAACTCTTGCACGGGTCGCATGGTCTTTCCCGGCCGGGCAACCCAGGAAACATAGCGATGAGGGCCTTCTATAATAAGGAGCGTATTGTTGAGTGCCCAGCCGTTGCTTGGAGGCTTTTATGTAACCCGGTTTGCATCCCTTGGTCGTTCCTTGGCGCATGCTCCGCGTTCCAGTCGTCCAGGAGAAACTGCCTGGGTTTCATGGATCCGCCAAACATCAACGCTTCGTACAACACTGTACCTTAGCATTTTTAAACTCGACAGAATCACTGAACATAACATCGACAATAGCTCCTTCCGATGCTTTCCAGCAGTTTTTAGGTAGAGCTTCCACTGCAAGCAGGGTACGGGAGCTGGGTCGTCTTGCCGCTTCCGGTACCACCAGACACAACCAACACTTGAGACGAATTCAGCACCTGATCCAGCTCAGGGCACCGAGACCCTGCGCTCTCGCTCACTAAGGCAGAGATAGCGAACTTGGGGATTTACCCTAAAAGGCGTCAAATACAAAGCAGCCAGGGGGGCCTCTCCCAAGCTCTCCCGAATCTGTTCGATGGGAAGCTTGCCACGAACATCAACCCGTCTTGGGTCATCTGCGTCAGGGATTCGGCCAAAGTGCCTGAACACTGCAGGGCGAATTGTGAAGTTGCTTCGCGGCAATCCAAATGTCGACCAAGGCTGCCGGTACGTCGCTGCATCTGCTGAAGGGATCTCGGCACCTTCGTAGAGCTGTTCAGCAGCCCACCTGGTCAGCCCGCCCTCGAGAGCGAGTATCGGAAAGTATCAAGATGGGCATCAAGCGGATGGTGATGGTGGATAGGCGACCACGGAAACTCTGTGCGAGCTGCTGCATGCAACGATGCTGCTTTTGAAAATGTGCAGCAAATACCGGGCGCTAGAAGGGCACAAGTACCTGTAGCGGTCCTATGTAAAAACTCTCTCTCGCTCTCCATATCTGTGTATGAATATATATATATATGAGTACATATCCCAAAACCCTCTTCACTCCATTGCTAAGTATCAAGGCCCTACGGGGGCCTCGTACGTCTCCTGTCCTGGATGGATTTCAAGCTTGTTTGCCACAGCTTCCAGTTGGCTTCCGTGGGCAGCACTCGTCGCACTTCGTCCTGAAGCCCACAGCTTAGGGCTTTAGGGTGTTCGACTCACACACTCGCAGAGGGCAGGCACTTTACGATTTTTTGGTGTTCAGGGTCTATACAGGGCCTATAGGGGTATATGGAATGAGCTGCGCTGGAGTTGCCCGTCCTCGCCGCCCATGTGACCCCCAAGCGGCGAGAGGCGGAGGACCTCGTGTTTCAGGACGCTCGTCCTTCCACTCCATGGCTGGCCCATGGACGCCTGCTGACGGACGGAACAGGTGGAGTGCGACAGTCCAACCCTGCCTTCGAGCGGGGGGGTAGAGTCGCATCCGGGCGCGTTTAGTCACAACATCCCCCAAAATATCGAAACCCCATGGGCACGCGGTCCGGATGTGGGTTTCAACGCACGTCACCCCGTGTCATCACATCAACAATAGCTTTTTGCATCCCATCAACAATAGCTTCAATAGCGAAACCCCATGTGCACATTGTCCGGATGCGGGTTTCAACACTTACAACGAAATGAATGAAATGGCAGTGCCCAGGTATTCGTGCCTATTTTGCAGTCACATCACCTCGCTTGATGTGGAGCTGCTCCTGCCGAGCCGCTGTCTCGTTGATACAGATAGTCTCAGCTTGTGTATTTTGCAGTGATTTTCGGGTTCTAACTTGTGGGCTGGTACATCGGCCCGCGCGACGCCCGCGCGAGCACCGCGCGACCTCCAGTTATCACACATATATTCTAGTTGGTGCTGGCCGTAAAGTCGCCTCACGCCGTTGAAAATCGCGTTCGAGACACACATCCGCGGCATCACAACACATAAATCAAAAAACGGGCATTCCCCCTCAAGACACTCGCTTCCACAAGCACCTGGGCACATCAAAACCCGCCATTCCCCATGTAGACGCGGGATTTCGCAAGCACCAACTCGAGACAGCCATTCCCCATGTAGACGCTCAAATCCACAAGCACTCGTTCCAGACACACATACGTGGCATCATTTCGTTTCAGGGGAATCCCCTGTTGCACGCTGGATCGATGCGACTAAACACAACGCAATGCGACTGAATCCTTGAACCCGGTAGCAGAGTGTACTCGAAAGCAAGGCCCTGAGGCATGCGAATGGAACATGGAGCCACATCCGCAGAAAAACCAGTGCTTGAATTGCAGGATGCAGGACATCCACCCCGGAGTCTTGTCAGCCTGCCGCTGAGCCCAAGTCTGGCTCCACAACCTGGACAAAAAGCAGCCACAACGGTTCAAGAGGTGCAGAGCATTGGGTCGGCCAAGCTGTCACAGGAAAGTTAGATGCCTGTGGATTATGCAGGCGAGGTGCTCTGGCTCATGGGGATCACCTGCCGGGACGCGAATGTACCAGCGCAAGCGGCTCATGAACGTTTCCGCTGCGAGAGCGACGGCAACCTTGCAAAGGCAGGCCAGTTCGCTTGGCTGTGACATGCCAGCTTGCTCGGTTTGTGTGCTGATTTCTACCAAGCAGCATCACGGTCGTAGTCAGCGGCCGGACCCACGACATGGGTCTCAAAACATTTGCAAGCGATTGCAGCTTGCCAAGCCTTGCCGCAAGGCTGGAAGGCACTGATAAAGACATCCTCCAGCTTGCCCTCCAACGAGACCAGCCTGAGACAGACAGATCCATCTTCAATCATCTCTAAAGTGCTGACTTGACGGCTATCCATAAAGGAACTGGAGAAGTTGCCGATTCTACAACTTATTGTCTAGTGCATGCTCAAACTTTGGTCTCATGTCACGTCTTTTTGGGCCTCTCTCTCAAACCAGGAATCTAGGCCCAGTCACGTCTCCGCTGCTTGGATCGCCGGCAAGCGCGCTCCGGAATGGGCTTCGTTGTTTCGCATTGCGTTTGCGCAGCGTCGGATTTCCTGTCGCATCGCCAGGAATAGGCTTATTTGTTGCTTCAATGCACTGGGCAGCAACGTACATGCTAAGGCTCGTCTTGGTTGCTGTTTGCTGAGCGCAAGTTGTCTGATAAGTCTTCCCCCACCCCGTCCTCCACCGGTCTCTCTGGGAAAAACAAGCGATCCAGAGCTTGCTGGGCAGCCAATTGCTTTGCATCTTCGCTGCCGACTGCGAGCCCTGCCCCGGCAACGAAACCACATTGGTGCACGTCGCAGGTCACCAAGGCAAAAAACCGCCCGCGCTTCAGCTGCTGGACGGTGTACTTCCTCTGCTGGACTTGGACGCTAGTGCCGGAACCTGGGCCTGTAAGTAACTAGTATATGGTGTTATCCTATACTATACGTCCGTAATATCTTGTGTTAAATTATCTTCGATCGATTGCATAATACTCATTATACCACTCACACACTAACGACTAAGGGCCCGGCACTTGTGCTAGCTGTCCGCTCTCCCGCCACGCTTCAAGTCTATCCACCGACTCGTGGGAAATCTCGTCGAATTGAACCTCCCCAGCACAACACCCTTGAAGGCATCCGGCCGTAATCACGCCTGCAGTTTTTGTGACTGAGTCCTCCATGAGCGGTCTGAGTTCCGCGTAGTCCGTCATCCAAGGGTCGCCGGCATACTCTAAATATTTCTCCAAAATTGGCCTTGGAAGCTACACTGAACAACAAAAGGAAGACAAACAACAAGAAGACCGTTCTGTCAGAATACGAGAAGAAGATCTTACAAATCCTTGCAACATGCCGTCGCATGGGGCTCGGAAGATTTGAGCTGTTGTAACAAGCCTCGAATCTCCTGCGCCAAAAGCATTTTCTGGCAAGGGTATGGTGAAGCTGTTGAACCACTCGATCGGACATGAGCCCGTCAGTCCCTCTTTGGCCATTTTATAATGGTGCCAAGCGAACTTTGGGCATTCGCTGAAGTGCAGACGGCAGCGGCTGCCTGTCAATAAAAATGGAATCATAGACTGCGAGATACTTGAGGCTAGCTGAGTCAGGCAACACAGCAACACATCGGCATGCTGGGGTTGACACCGTGGCACATGCCGCACCGGCAGCCCTCGCAAAGCAAACGGATGCAAGCGAACATGAAACAGAAAGGCACTTGCACACTCACATTCCGAAGCTTATGATTGCATCTGGTGTTGTCGCAATGCCGGCCGACGGTTCCGCACCTTAATGTCTGCCACGAGCTTTTGTCATGAATTCGAGACCATCGCTGCTTCCAGCGAAATCCCTCTCTTGCGCACCTGCTCGACATGTCTGCATCTGTGTGCCCGGTATGCAACAAATACCCGACCTGGAAATAGGCAACATGGCGCGCGACGAAGCACACCGAAAGCCATGCACGGCCAAGGGATGCGGCACTTGCCTGGGAGCTGCAGGACCATGTCATAGACACAGTACCTCACCTTTTCAACAATTAAGTAGGACTCTGTGCTGAGCACCCTGCATTGGTGGTAATGGTGCCGCGAGGCACCCCGCAGCCGATGGCAATGAAGCCACTAAGGCATCTACATGGGTCTTCGATGTGGTGTCTTTGTTGTATTTTGTTGTGCGGTTTGTGGGTGTGCGGAATTCCGAGTCTGTTAGGACTGCCACGGTGATGTGTACCAATTTCACGCCAGAGAATTAGAACGCAGTACGACAAACCTGGCTCATCCACGCTATGTCGGCCGCACACAGATGGTGAGGTCAAACATGCATCCTGCGCTACTCTATGTTTGCTTATTGTGTTTCTGCGGAAGATTTCGCACACTGTGGCCTCAGCTGATTGAAATGGCCAAAGGACACTGACATGGTGGATGTGCTGCACATGCCGTCCACATCTGTCCGCCTCAAAATTTTTCCCCTGGGTTGGAACGACTGCACCGAAAAGGCGGTCGGCGGTCTGCAAATCGTCGCCCTCCCTCCCTCCCCTCCCCTCCCGCTCCCCTCTCCCTCCCTCCCTCCCTCCCTCCTCCTCCCTCCCGCACTCCTGCCACTACCGCTATCGCTCGTACAATTGGGACCTGGAAGGCGACCCGGTCCAGGCATGCGGCAAGCAACGCGTGCCGAAACTGCAGCAAGTCACTGAGAAGTGCCGTCGTGCCTATGTCCTATGTCCAGCATATGTTTCTGGTGGCATCCCGTATCCATGCCGAGGCCAGGCCTCGGCATGGAACCAGAGCACATCCGATTGGTTGGAGGCTCTGGGTTGGTGAGCCAGCTGCAAACGAGCACTCATCACCAATCAACCTTAGTGTGCCGCTTCAGGTCCGAATTTGTTCCGAAGCAGAGCACAACGGTCGAAACAACGACAGACAAAAACGCCCGCAAAACAAAAAAAGCAAAAACAGACCCGGTCGGCGGTCCGCTCGACTGGAAATCCACCGGAACGCAAGACACCAAAAGCCAACCTTAACAGCAACGACAACCTGCAGCGTCGAGCGGCAAAGGCAAGCATAGCAACGGGGTTCGGACACAAGTGAGACCAACATGTCCAACAACATTTCCTGGCAGGAGGACAGGGCAGCGGGAACCCATGCGGATCCTCGCAAAACTCCGCGCAAATTGAGAAATCGCATATGGGCCATATGGGTGATGCCAGACCATGCCTGGAGCATGAGGCGCCGCCAAAAGCGGGCTCACCAGGACACTGCCTGCTTCTGCCACGACTCCAGTTCTCCCTCCACATGACCCGGGTGCACATCTGCTACCTTTCTGGTCGCATATTTATACGGCCGGCCTGTGCAACGCGTGGTCCCCTACCAACTTGGGGGGGTACTGGCAGGGGCACCACGAGACCTCAACAAGCAGAGTCTTCCGCGCAAAGGTGCCTCAGGTGGCAAAGGGCAGCAGCGTGGAGCGGCGCATGGGGAGGCAAAGCCAGCGCATCAAAGGATTCAGGCTAAATGAAGTGTGGGGCTCGCGAAAGAAATGAATCGAATATCGTCCGGCATGGTCAAAGCGTGAAACTTCTTTGCTTGCGAATTTGTTCATGGCAGTTCATGGCAACAAAGCACAACGAGCCATAAGCATCCACGACTAAAACGACAAAGTGAAACGAGCATCTATTTCAATGAAGCGTTAGCAAGCTGGCAAGCTCTACTCACGAGATACGGCCGACAATTTGCACAACCACGCAAGCTTACAGAAAGAAGCGCGCGCTGGCATTCAGACGTTCGCAGTGAAAGACTCTTGCAAGCCTTGGCCCAACTCTGCCCAAACGCCACATCAGCTCGGCAAACATGTCAATTTTGCGATGTGGGATATGGCACACGGCGAGCATGGGGTCATAAGGCATGCCACAGGGTCGGTATGGCGGTGCCGAGCACAACGCTCACTCGAGAAATCATAATCTCTTCCCACGACTAGTAAACCCCCCCTAATATTAAAACTG